CAATTCTCTTGCCTCAGCCTCCCAAGTAGCTGGGACTGCAGGCGCCCACCACAATGCCCAGCTACTTTTAGAGACAGGAGTCTCACTCTAGCTCAGGCTGATCTTGAACCTGTGAGTTCAGGCCATCCGTGCCCCTCAGCCTCCCAGAGTGCTGGGATTACAGGTGTGAGCTACTGTGCCTGGCCTTGCTTAAAATTTTTAAAACAAGCATTAAAATTACAAGTAAGAAGGGTGGCCTGTAGCTCAGTGGCAGGGCGCTGGCCACATACACGGAGGCTGGCAGGTTCGAACCCGGCCCAAGCCTGCTAAAACAATGACAACTGCAATAAAAAAAAAACAGTCTGGTGTTTTGGCAGGTGCCTGTGATCCCAGCTATTTGGGAAGCTGAGGCAAGAGAATTGTTTGAGTCCAAGAGTTGGAGATTGCTGTGAGTTGTGATGCCACAGTGCTCTACTGAGGGCGACAAAAGGGAGACTCTCAAAAAAACAAGAATTACAAGTAAGAAAACTGAACCAGGCTCTGCGCCTGTAGCTCAAATGGCTAAGGCACCAGCCACATACACCAAAGTTGGAGGGTTTGAATCCAGCCCGAGCCTGCCAAATAACAATGGCAACTACAGCTAAAAAAATAGCTGGGTGTTGGGGCAGGCACCTATAGTCCCAGCTACTTGGGAGGCTGAGACAAGAGAATCGCTTAAGCCCAGGAGTGGGAGGTTGCTGTAAGCTGTGATGACACGGCACTCTACTTAGGGCAACAGCTTGAGGCTCTGTCTCAAAAAAAGAAAAAGAAAAAGAAAATTGAAAACCAAAACATAAGTTATTAGTTTAAGAGAAATTGATCTAATATAGCCATTTATATCTCTTTTTAGATTAGCAAGAAAGGGAGAAATAAGGAAGCCCATGGAACTGCTGAACCCTTCCCCTAAGGGAACCTACCTGGTGTGGGGCTCCAGCAGGTATGAAGACAGCATCACCAAGGAACTGCACAATGGCCCAGCCTTGCACACCATACTCCTCATAGAGTCGCTTACGGAGGGTCTGGTCCAGGTACCAACTTTGGTCATGAATTGGGTCATGATCAGGAGGATTCTCTTGGCCTTGCTCTTCTCCAACCTGAAGCCATCATAAACATCCAAAGAAAGAAAATTTAAAATGTATTTATTTTTTTGAGA